GCATTTTTCTAAACTAAAAAAATGTGAAAAATGAGAGCTAAGATAAAAGGGTGATCTAATAATAGAAAGGATAAATTACGATGATAGTCTCTATATTTTGATCATTTTGTTATTTTAGTCATTGTAATTTTAATTGACTCAATTTGGATATCGAATTTATGATTTTGTCTCAATTTAATATAATTGATTATAAGTATTAGTACTTCTTTATGAAAAATGCACATATAAATGTCATTTGTTATATTTTAAGGACAAAATTATAAATTTACTCAATTTAGTAAGTTAACCTTAACCAATTTAGTGATAATTTTTTTTTTAAAAAAATACAAACGATATTATCAATTAGATAAATTGAAACAAAATCTAAAATTAAGGGTTAAAATTGAACCAATTGAAAGTATAGGAACCAAAATAATATAAGAGATCAAATATAAGGACCGTCGATATAATTTGTCCTAATAAAAATAATAATAAAAAAAGAAGAAGAAATTTAGAGGGTGATAAATGACTCCCTAGAGATGATAAAATATGATAGAAAAGTGTTCAAAAAAGATACTATTAGAGTGGTGTTTTTGAATTTAGCACTTTAAATTAATAAAAAAATGAAAGTTGTTGTAGATACTTTAATATATGATAATTAAAAGATGTGCGGTGTACCAACAATCATGATTTAAACGGTTCTTCATGAAACCGGTAGAAAGGAGAATTAGAGAAAAAAAAAAATATTATACTTGTAACAGTAAAAATTTTAATTGGGAAATTACACTTGTAAACGAAAGTTCCAGTCATTGGGTTAATGTTTAGGTTAATTGCTATATTTATTCATAAATTGAAAGTTGAGGTGCTTATAGCTTAAGTTTAGTACTAGTAATTTATATGAGGTTTTATTTTTATTTTTATGAATAATGGTTATTATTTAGTTATTAGTTATTAAATTAATTTTTGAGAAAAATCTCAATCTCACCTTGCAAGTACCAAAGTGTCGCCTGTGTGCTATTAGGCCACAAAGTTATGGGCAAATCTTTGTCTTACAAAGTAAAATGGCGTTGCTTATCGAGAAAAGTTGAGGATTGATTATAACTAAGCATTCGTTTAGAATCTGAGTTGATTTTTTGATCTTTTAATTTTTTGACTATTTTAATTTGTGATTATGATTTGGACATGACATTTCTCTTATTGATTTTTTAATTTATTTTGTCTTTTATGACTATTTCAATCCAAACCATTCATGCCAAATATAGTCTAAAATTGTAATTTTGGTGATAATGTAAACTAGTATATATCATGCAATAACGGTGTTATGAAAAAATGAATTTTCATCTTATGTGTCATTGTTTTAATGAGTTTCATTATTCATACATATATATTTATATAAATTTGAGTGGACCACTTATAAGACACATTTTAACTATACACTCATCTACTTTATAAACTAACAAACACTTAATACATACAATTAAGTCTCACTTTTTTTACACTTTTTATCATATAACTAATATTTTAGTAAATTTTTTTAGCCATCCCGTTGGATTCTATACAACTCTTTAAACCAGTAGTGACTTTAACAGAACTTTGAAATATATGCTTGTCCAATAAGGCCATGTTTGTTTGGGCGGACTGGATTAACATTCCTATGACTAATAGTCCTAGGACTACGAATCCGTTGGATTACGTATCCTATCTTAACTAATAGTCAAGTTTAAAATAATTAGTCTCTACTTCAATTGTTTAACCAAACATCGGATTAATAATTTTATTGGACTATTAGTCTAATCCCAAACTCATATCCACACAAACAAACATGACCTAATAGTAACGTAGAGAAGGAATTGATGATCATCTCATTTCTATTTATAGTTAAACAATGATAATCTCACTTATTCCCGTTGTTGATTTAATATTACAAAAAAAAGCACGCAGCCAGTGAGAACTCTGGAGGAGCAGCCTTCCTGTGTGTAAGTTTTCCCATTCTTTTCATCATGTATAATGAAAGATACCTACAAAAATCTTAGAATTGGATGCACCATTAGAAAAGATTCTGTGGAAAAATGTTTGAGATGATCTTAAAAAATGTTTTCTCAATTTAACTTATAGCCTCCGTTTGGCAAGAAAAAGCCCAGTTTTTTTTGGCTAAAATAGCCACAAAAAACAAAATAGGCTATTTTAGCCACAAAAAACAAAACATCAAATCCAACCCATAATCATTACAATCTTCTCTCACAAAAAAAGTCAAAAAAGCCAAAAAGCCAAAAAGTCCTTCCCAAACCAGGCTAAAATAGCCCAGGCTAAAATAGCCAAAAAGCCAAAAAGCCAAAAAACCAACCCACTTCCCAAACGGAGGCATACTGATGTGACATAATAATTGTCAAATTTCAATTTGTTACATATTTAAATTTATCTAAAATTTGAAATCCTTAGCATTTATCAAATTATTCAGTACATAGTTTAAATAAGAAATGTTAGAAATTCACAATTTAAGTTCTACAATAATATAATAAGAGAGTTGAGCCTTGCGTAATTAAATTTGTGATAAATCAAAAATTAATACAGGTTATGTCATGTTATTATAGCTATAAATTATAAATCTCAATACTTTCCCTAACTTAATTTTATCGAATTTTATATTGTTTGAAGATTTGAACCATGTGTTCTCAATCAAAATATTAAATAGCACATACAATAAATATAATTGAGTGCATCTTCTATAAAAAGTGCTTCCAATGTGAGAATAAAACAAAATTAATTGGATTAATTCAATTAACTACTCCATATACTTTGCAAATAACAAATTAATTCTTTATTTCTAAATATGAGAATTGCATGTATTTATTAATTTTCTTTGTAACAGATTGGATAAAATAAATTTGTTCAGACTTTCAAAAATTATGAACAAAACACTCTCTCCTTTCATGCACAAGACCTACTTAGATAACTTTCAAATGCATATTATTTGCAAGTGAACAAGTTGAATTTGTTGATCTTCAAGGGAAAAGCCCAAATGCATGTTCCTAACAAGTAAACAGACCTTGGATTAGACTCCATTCAGAATTTTGAATCTAAAAAATTGGCCTTGCTAATTTGAATGTAAACTGATTGATTAAGGTCTTTTTTTTTTTTTTTTTCCCCCTAAATTTATTTAATCTATATGAGAATATTTATATTTTACAAATATCAGCTAAGTTAGCCCAATTAATTAACAGAATCCCAAAATATTAATTTGTTGCAATAAGAATTCCATTTAAAGCTCTACTTTTAAAACTACCTATCACCATATTTTTACTTGATGAAAAGGGTACATGGGTTGGGTGGATGTCACAATCCTCACCCGTTGTTTTCAAACAGAAAGAGTTTAAGCAAGTTAACAAACAACTATGCTGCAGATCGCCAGTGGGGGTTGCACCTCCAGTGAGGTGGCGAGCCCTCACTGGCTGAAACTCAAAAAAGAAAAATAAATAAATAAAATAAATTTTTTTTTATCCAATCACGGCACGCCAGCTCACTGAGGGTCGACCCCTAGTGAGAGTCCGAAGCATTTTTCGTTAACAAATGCAATAATTTATAGATACCCTCTTAAGAATGGTTGATTTTTAATTTAATGTAACTCTAACTCTATGAAAACATAATGACAATGAATTGATCGTCTAATATTAACGGACAAGACTCTCATACTGTCAACGATCACTAACTAAAACTCAACGGATCGATAATTTCTCATCCACTAATTCACTTCAAAGTACAAAGCACCACAACTCTTCTCTCTTTAATACATTTGTTTTGCATAAAAATAATATATTTATATTATGCTTAACTCACTCTCTCTCTCTCTCTCTCTTTGTAGATTTTTTTTTTAAAAATTATTTTTTACTTTTGTGATTTGTTTTGTTGAGTAAAACCTAAAAATGAAAAATATTTTATTTTTTTTAAAAAAAATCCACAATAAAAAGGGAGGAAAAACACTAACAAAATAAGTCACTGACAAAATAAGTCACTGAAAAAATATCACTCCTCTTTTAGCTAAAACCAAACAGATTTTTCACTTTTGGTAACTTATTAAAATAGTAAAAATAATAATAATAAAAAAGTCAGTTAACTTTCCTCTTTATTTTTTTATATATTTTTTCGTAAAAAATTAATTAAATAACTAGTTCCAAAATAACCTTTATTTATTTTTTATTTTTTACAAAAATAGTTGTGAAAAAAAAAATGATATCACAACTTATAAAATCACTTATATATATATATATATATATTTTTTTTATATCTTTTTGTAATAAATAAAAAAATCAACTTATAAATTATATTCCAAACAATTCTTAGGTTTTGTTTGTCAACTATACATTTTAGTCAAAAAATTAATATAAATTATCATATCACTTTTCTACATTTCTACATATTTTTTCATAAAAAATTAAAAAATTAAAAAATTATTAAAATAATATTTTTTCAAATGAGACTTTAGTCACAAAAAATAACATACGAATAAATTTTATTTGTCAAGAAATTCAGTAGATAATCATAAATAACATTTAGGGGTTATTTGACATATAATAACAATATGTATTTTTTTACTTTAAAATTGTTTTTAGTCATATTATTTATTTATTTATTACATATTTTTCCTAAAAAAAATACTTATTTAACAATTTTTATTAAAAAAAATACTTATTTAACAATTTTTATTAACTTAATGCTGTGTTTGGTTTGAGAATTTGGAGAGAAATTTTAAAAAAGAAGGGAAAAAAGTGTGTGAAATTATGTGAAATATAAATATATTTCATTCAAATTTTGCCTCTCTTTTTTCTTTTCATTTCTAAATCTCTTCTCAAATCCTTCAACAAAACACAGCGTAAGAAATATTTTAAAAAGTTGATCTTTTAATTTTTTTTTAAAATATACATAAAAATACAAAAATAATATAACACAAAATAAAACAAAAGCCAAAAATTAAATTTTAGCCATATTGCCGTAAGATCAAAAGCACTAAAATAAACAATGACCTTGTCAATATGAGCCTCACCTTTCAGCGTCTCCTAGTTCCCTTGCTGCAACAAACAATCTCACTCCTCCACTCTCCCGCTTCTCTCTCTCCCTCTCCCTCTCCAAATTATTCATACATATTTACATGTATGTATATGTGTATATACACACAACACCAGAAGATTGCTGAGCAGCATAGTAGATTCTAATCTTCTCTAAACTGTGACTTTTTTTTTTTTCGTTTTGGTAGAAAATATAATCATGGATGAAATGTATGGTCTCCTTCAAACGAATAATGATTATACAGACAAGGTCCTGATGTCACCGGACAATCTGATGTTTCCGGCTGACTACCAGACCTTCTACTCCTCCTCCTACGGCGCCGATCACCACCGGATTCCATATTTTGGATCAGAAGAGTTGATGTCTGCCGCCTCCGCGATTTCCGAAGCCGCCTCGATCACGCCTGGAGTTCGAAGAAACCATGAAAATCATGATGATATGTCGAGCTTCATCAAGGCTAAAATCGCTTCTCATCCTTTTTATCCGAAATTGCTCCAGGCTTACATCGATTGCCAGAAGGTTGGAGATTATAATACTATAATCTGATGAAAAAAACGTCCTTTAATTGTTTCAACAGTGCCATAATTATGAGTTTGTTGAATTAGTTTTTGGCCTTGTATACTGATGAAACTTGAAATTCTGGAATCATCATCGGTTTATGTCTATAATTTTCCGGGAAAATTGTTGTTAAGTTGATTTTCGGTGAGAAAATTTTGCTGTGCGTCCTTTTCTGTACTGCTGTGTGTTTTTCAAACTGTTGATGTAGTTGGATTTTTAAGTTAATTTTCGGTGAGAAAATTTTGCTGTGTGTACTTTTCTATACTTGTGTTTTGCAAACAGTTGATGTAGTTGGATACTGATGAAACCCAACGGTTTTGGTGTGAGAAACTTTGAAATTCTGGAATCATCAGTCTATGTCTATGATTTTCTCGGGAAATTATTTGGCGAGAAAAATTTTCAAGCAGTTGATGTAGGTGGGATATGACTTTTTCAGGTTGGAGCGCCGCCGGAGATAGCGTGTTTGTTAGACGAAATCCGACGAGAAAACGACTTTTGTCAGCGAGACTCGGTTATCACGTGTTTAGGTGCCGATCCTGAGCTCGACGAGTTCATGGTCTCTCTCTCTCTCTCTCTCTCTCTCTCTAGTTCCGTGAATTCACTATCAAATCGTGATTTTTCCCCCGGACAGTTCTTTGATTCTCTCCCTAATCTATCTCTCTCTCTCTGAAGGAAACCTTCTGTGATGTATTGGTGAAGTACAAGTCCGATCTCTCAAGGCCTTTTGATGAAGCAACAACCTTCTTGAACAAGATCGAAATCCAACTCGGCAATCTTTGCAAAGGTCCGTTAAACTCTCTCTCTCTCTCTCTCTCTGTCTCACACACACACACACACACAAAAAATCATGTTTTGCAAGCTTAAGGTGCCATGTGAAGATTGCTGGTGGCGCACGATAGCGTTTGGGGCTTACTTTAGCATAACAAACCCCATAGATAGAAGACGCCATAGCTCTATGGAATTATTCATAGACTGCAATTAACACACACACACAGCACAGCTCGCTAGTCCTAGCCCTAGTCTACTGTCGCCTAGTCTTGTCTCTTTTCTGTTTCTGAAAAGAACTCACCCCCACTCATTTGTATCAAACCACATCAATTACAGTGAGAATAATCAGACTCAGTGAAGGGGTTGTGACAATAATAACATTTCAGATCAGCAACTATAGCCCAAAAAAAAAAAAAAAAACGAAAAAAGAAAAAATAAACCGAGAAATATTTATGAAAATGACCTATTTTCTTCAGCTATATCTGAAAATGACCTATTTTCTTCAGCTATATCTGAAAATGTTGTTGTTGGAGATAGGTGTGGTGTATATCTGATCTCTCTCTCAAAAGGCCTAACCGCATGGGGATAGGATTGACCTCTGAGACTAGATCGTAATGGAGCCGAGGTTCCTCACCATAGGTGGCTTTATACAGTAGAATCATTTAATCATCATGTAGCAGTAAGTCTTTAGAATCGCAGGTAGGCAGAGATTCAAATTTACACTCTTGACATTACATAGTACGAAAGTACCAACTACATGTGGTGTTTGCCAAATGACTGGCCCGGGGAGAGTCGAACCAAGGACTTCGTAATGAGGTCTTGCCACTCAACCGCAACTTGGTTATCTCTCTCGCTTGTTTGCACAAGAAAGGGTAAACCTTAACAAGTCTAGGGGGGCTGCAGTCAGGACTCATGGACCTTGAAACAGTTCTAAACCTTTTTTTCTCTTTTCAGTTTATTGTTATCTTATTTGGGTCTGGGTTTAATCTCTTTTTTTTCCCTCACTCATCTTCTTTGTTGTGTTTGTTGGGAAAGACTGGTATAAATTTCTTAAAAGGTGTCTATCATATGCAAATGACATAATTTCATATTTATTGAGTCATAATTAAAGAAAATATAAAATTCATAACCAAACACAAAAATATCATTTACTAAAATCTCAAAATAATATCATAATTAAAGAAGAAATTTAGTGATAAGGTAATTGAGAGTGCATATGTATAATGGAATTCTCTTTATTTATTTTAATTTTCTGTGTATTTCTGATTTTGATTTTGACATTTCAGAGGTCAGGTGATATGACATAGTACTTTTGAGTGTTTGAACACAGTGATAGTTTTCTTTCCAATCTTCTCTCTCTTTTGATTTTCCCATAAAATTTTCAGAATGCTGGTCCTCCTTGTTAGTTTCCATTTCAAATTTTGAGCTGGTTAGATGTTAGGCAAATTGATAATACCCACTAGATATGTAATTCATTTAGGACTAAAACTGGCCAACATGTGAAAAAAAGGGGATTTGATATCAATTTTTTGCTTGTCTTATTTCTAACTTGGAATAGGGATGATAGACTCGTACTATGATCACCATCTTTGTTATGATCGGTACTATTTGTTGGTGGCTCAGTTTTTGCTGGCATTATCATTTGGCATCATGTCTTTAGAACTGTGAACTTTTATCTATGTGGTACAAGCATACTACAATATTATGAAAATGGCAGTTAAAATTCTATTGGCTTCTCCATCTGACCAAACTTTTTTAGGATTGAATCCTATTTAGCAAAATGAGTCTAGTAGCAAATAGGACTCAAAAACTAAATTTAAAAAAAGTGCAAGTGATTTTGTATCCCTCCTTGTTTCTTTGCCTGGCTCCTTTTGCTAAACAAAAAATGCATGTATATAATTAGTTACATGGTTTTGCTAATGTAAGAGATCTACAAGGGGAGACCCTCCATTGAAGAAAAAGGTTAGTAAATAGGAAGAGGTTAATTTTTTGGAATTGTTTTACCAAAATGATGTGGGTGTGACTTTCTTGTAATTAAAAGCAATTTTGATAGGTTCTTTGTTTTAAACTGATAGGTTAACAACCCAATCATATCATTTTATATTCATTTTTTTTCATATGTTTGTATTTTATATAGCAAATATTATTCTGGTATATATTCACTTGTTTGTAGTTCAGCAAGAAAAAAATAGTAAATGTTCACATGTATTGGTGACTTCACTCAGTGGACTTCTCTTGTGAGAAATTTTTCAATGATCCTAGAGCAAGTCCAGGTGGTTCTCGAAATTACTAATTATTGGTCTAAATTATAGGGGACTTGTTGCTTTTGTATTGGAGTTTTAGGAGACAAATGTGTTCGGTGTCAATCAATAAATGGAAACACTTGAATTAATGTGATTTTAAAACTGCCACATGAAATTAAATTCTATGTGGAGGTAAAATAAAACATTATGATAGTAGGTGTCGTAGAAGACAATTTGATATGGCCTATGTTGTGTCTTATGACCAAATAAGGCTCTATGGAGCCGAAGTAGGCAAATATGATGTCTTGACTTTGCAAGAACTTTATTATGCTTTGTTGAGTGTTGAGTTGAAAGAAATATTGAAAGTTTTCGTAGCAAAAAAAAATGCTCTACTGTTTTGGGGAAGTAATCACGCTAAGTGATGTTTGCAAGTTTTGATCACTTGTTCACGGGCATTCTCTTATGTATATATATCTTTCTTATTATTGTGTGGTGCACTTTTGGTTTGTTGGTTGCAAAAGGGTAAAAAAATGTGCTTAATATAGAATGGCAATGGTTTTATATTGCTTCCCCGTCTACCTTCATGAACATGTGCTTGCCTAATTCTTTAAAAGCAATGTGATGAACACTATGGCTAGTAATGATGTCTATTTACTTTTGAAGAGTTTCAAGTTCCAATGGGAGGGTAAGTATTTGTGCATGGAGATTAATAACAAACATTTGGATCATGAGGGTAATTATTTCAAAATGAAAATAAGCCTCAACTGGAAAATGCTTTTGATCTTATACTAAAGATGTCCTTACCCTCGACATAGCACAGTTGCACCACTGACCTCACGTGACAGCACTTGGATCATGAGGGCTTTATGAGTGGAACATGGAATTCAATGTTTTCCTGCTGCTATGTATCTTGTTTGAGATTGACATCCATTTGATACTTTTTTGATTGATTCTCATAATCATCTCATCTTCAAGGCTGTCATTGTCGCTCTTAATAAACAATGGCTGAAAACAACAATAAAGTAGGCGAAGTACAATTGAAATTTGTTGTTAATTTTCACTTTATCTGGTGTTAATCTACATAACTACAATTTTAGTATAAAGCTTTGTTATTTTAAACTTCTCTAGTGAAGGGAAGCTGCTGTTGTCTCCTTCTCCATAAGAGTGGAAGAAGTGGTAATGCAATTGGAATTAATTTAGCATCCTTAGTTGTTTCAAGGTGATTAATATAATGTAGAGATATAAAGTAGAGAAAGATTATTGATTAAGTAGAGAAAGATTATTGATTATGGTTATCAGGTTGCTTATGTTGGACAACTATTATTGTTTTTTGCTTGAAAGTACAGATTACCTTTTATATATGTTAGTTACTATGATCTACAGTTGGGGTCCCACGTTTGTCTACTTTCATGCTTCAGTTAGTTCTTAGTTAATCCTGTTTTATGGTACTCAGATTCTTTCGGACACGGATTTAGATGTCCACTTGAACTTAATATTGGCATATATTCACGTGCTTGGATTGTGTCAAGGTTCCTATGATGTTCTGATTAAGGCTTCTTTACTTTATTGTATCTAATGTTGGTAAGCATTTTGTTGTTTTTTTTGTATGTCCACTTGATGCATGCTTGGGGCCTTCTTCTTCTAGGATGAATGAATTTTTATTTATTTATTTTTGGGTACATAGGAGGTGGGTGCCTGGGGAGGAGAGTAGGTCTGGCTTGCTTTTAGTGAGATTTGAACTTTTGATCTCCTAATGAATTTCAAGGATTTTGACTGATTGGGCGAGTTCCAAATGGTTATGAACAAATATTTGGTCAAAAGTTAGGGGTGTTTAAAAAATTGTTGGAATTGGTAAAACCGGTTTAGACCCATCCAAATAATTCAGTTTGGTGGGTTTTTTAGGGGATGGTTAGGTTTTGGTTTCAAGTAACTAAGGAATGTTGTTTGCATTTCAGTTGATTGATTAAGACTAAAAGAACCGGATTGAGCTGAATTTGCTTTGTATTTTCTGTTCATTTTGATTGGTATAGCCTAGGCGTGTTCAGTTATGTACTTGCTTTCATTCTCATCAATTTCTTGGAGCCAGACTCTTATTTCAGCTTCTTATTCGTAATCGTAAAGTACTTTGTTAATGTAGGAAGATATACGTTTTTATGTAAATTGTTCACTGTTTATATGATTTTAAACGTTTCTATTATCATTGAGAATTACATTTCGATCATAATTTTAAACTGTCAATGGTTATTGCATTTGTTTTGTCATGTTGTCTTTATACATTTTGTTAGTTTGTTTGAATTATATTATGAAATTTGTAGTAAATGTTTATGAATTTTTTTTTTATATATATTTTTAAGCTATAATCAATTTTTGTTGAATGGGATAGTCGGAATATGGTCATAAATTTTTGATCCTACAGCTTTGAAATGGAATTTGAACCAAATTGTTTTTTCTGATTCATATAGATCGATCGGTTTTATTGTTGACTAATCTCATAATTAAGTCAGCCCGGTCAATGAACACCCTACCAAATATTAATCCATTCACAATGTGCTCTTTGTAAATGTATACTTATGGCAAATGGGAAATTCTAATGTACACTCCTTCAAAAGGTGTGTACAATGTATTCTTAGTTATGTCATTTTTGTTTTTGATAATTATGATAATTTTCTCATTTATTTATGATATTATTTTAGGTAGAAATCAAAAAATTTTTAATTATGTCTTATGTTATGTTTAATTATAATATAATATATATATATATTTTTAATTTTTA